ATCTTTGTGAGTAACAAAATAGGAAAACTCTTTTAGACCCAACTCTCATGATATACACCAAGTTACTTTCTCAGCTCATTAAGAATTAATTGGTTGCACAAATCTATTTAGAACCTTTAAAGCGTCCTCACCCTAAGTGGTATGATGCCAATGCTATTTATGATTATCATCCTTGGATTGTAGGCCATTCCACAAAAAATTGCACAGCATTGAAGTATAAGGTATAAAGTTTAGTCAAGGTTGGTTTGGTAAATTTTGAAAATAAGGAAAGGCTAAGTGTCATTGAAAATCCTTTGTCTAAGCATACAGAGGTATAATTTTTAAAAGGTTTTAGGAGTTTTTAGATAGTAATGCAAGTTTTTACATGTTGTGAACATTAGAAAGGTCTTTTATTTGTCTTTTAGTTTCAATAAAATGGCAAGTGCATTTTATTATATGTTTCTCTTTTCATCGTTACTTTTACACACCCTTCCATACTACACCCATTCTCACATTTCAAATAATAAATGTTCAAATAGTCATGATAATAATTCAAGATTTAATTTTAAAAATCCTATTTATATTGATAACACTGATGATTAGGACCTATATTCTGTTGAGATTCTCGAAAGTTGAAGTGAGATGAATTTATATAAAAAGAGTAAACTGATATGCTATTTTCACCTATTGAAAGAGGAAAGTGGAGTTGTAAGTATGTGGTTCTTTTTAGTGAATTAACCATAAGTTTGCTTTTATTAATAAATGTTTTTCAATGAAAGCATTCATTTTTTTTTTATAAGAAATGATCCTTTTTTCTTTTATCGTTTACAAACAAGAAATTGTCCATTTGTTACAATTTTGAGCCTATTGTATATTTTTTTAAAAGAAACCCAACCAAAGATCATCTATACGTTGGGAAGTAATATTTTAAGAAAAAAACCTATTCACATAAAAAAAATAAAAGTCACAAAAAGGTTTCAGTAATAAATTTTGAAAAAATCATGTTCGCAAAAATGAAAAAAGTAAAAGCCAAAAATAATACTCAAGGGTAAAAAAAGTAAGATACCCTTTTGAGTTTAAACTTGTTTTGAAAAATGGGAAAAAAAGTAAAAAAATGAGAAGATGATGAAGTTGAAAAATATAGCAAAATGCCAATATGTTTTGCATGACAATGAATAATTTTTGGTTTGATTACCCTTAAACACATTTTTAAGCCTCTTTTATTCTTTTTTCACAACCCTTTTCCATACCCTATGATACGTGCCTTAAAAGTTCATTTTGATAAAATGTGAATACTTTAATTGAAGAATCGTATAATGCATTAAGACATGTTTATGATACAATCAATGGGTAATGAGATTATGATCCTCTCTTATATTTTGGGATTGATTTGTGGGAATGACTATGGTGAATGACGCAAAAATGATAAATGAAATAAAATGATGAAAAGTGATGAAAAATGAGAAAAAAAAAATGAAAGATGAAAAAGAAGAAAATGGAAAACTTAAAGTGAAAACCCGAAAGGACAATTTAAGTAAGAAAAAGATAACTAGGTTGGAAACTTGTAAAGACAGCTTTGGTTTGAAAAGATGATATCATTTTAGAATCCTATGACATAGGGGCAGGATTTGGTTTGATAAGCTCAAAATATGAAAAACATCATTAGAATGAGTTTTTGAGAAAGAATTCTAGAATTATATCTAAAATTGTTTGAAATTTCATTATTTAGATGTTATTATAGCATCCAAACATTTATACCAATAATATGCTTTGAAATTGTTCATTTGCTTATTTGTTCTTGAGACTTGATCTTATATTTATTACCCATTTTCTCCAATTTATCTTACTCTCTATTTTCCCTAAATGAGTTGAGAAAATATCTCATAAATTGCATTTGCCATGAAATTGAACTGATGATAAACAAATGAATTCATAAAAGATCCTTGCATCACTTTGAAATGAAAAATTGAATGACAGGGTAGCATGAAACAGATATGTGAGTGACAAAAGAAACTTAAGAAAATGTTAATCATTAAAGCCTTCAAAGAAAAGAAGGAACATTTTGAAAAAGTTCAAATATTATGATCAAATTGGCAAATGAAGATTTGGTTCATAAACTCGTTGATAAAACTTGTTAGCTAGTTTTGATATTATGATTCCTCAAAATTGAAATGGAAAAAAGGTATTGAAAAGATCTTAAAAACCTTTTTGTCATAATTAAAGGTTACATTCATGACATTGCATTCATAGCATGTCATTCATTGCATTTGTTTGTTAAGAAGTTGTGATCTTGGATTGTGAAATTAAGATTAATGAAAGTGTGAAATGTTTTATTTGAAGATAAGTTTTTCAAAAAAATGAAACTTTAATATCTGGTGATAAGGTTTTGATTCCCAATGGGAAGATTTATTGAGAAAATGAGTAAGGTGTTGATCCTTGATTGAGGAAAAAATTTTGCAAAGATAAGACTGCTTAATGAGATTTTGATCCTTAGTTGAGGAAATTTTATAAAGATGGATTTCAATTATAAATTGAAGAAAAGAGTCAAAGATAAGAAATTTAACTTTTGGATAAAGGCAATAGTTTCAAGGAAAATTGATAAACCTTTGTTAAGGAGCCTTTTTATACTTTTCCAAAAGTTGTTGAACTTTTGTTTAAGAGAAGCCTTTTATAATTTTTTTGAAGTTGTTAAGCCTCTAATAAGAGAACCATTTTATAATTTTTCAAAGTTATTAAGCCTCTAATGAAATGAGCCTTTTATAATTTTTTAAAGTTATTGAGCTTTTGGTGAAATTAGCCTTTTTAAAATATTCAAAGTTTCATAACCTTTAGTTAAATAAGCCTTTTATAAATTTGCTAAAGTTGTTGAGCCTTTGATAAGATGAGCCTTTTATAATTTTTTGAAGTTATTGAACCTTTGATGAGAAAAGCCTTTTAAATTTTTTAAAGTTATTGTTAAGCCTTTGTTTAGAAAAAACCTTTTCAAAAAAAGATTGGTAGATTATGATCCAAACATAATAGGTGTATATATTTTTGCACATTTCCTGTTTCACAGAAAATCCGTAAAGATGGGTAATTGTAGATTTTCCATTTAGTTCAAGGTTTTAGTTAAAGTTAAATTTTTATTTTATTTATTTTATTAAGTTTTGTATTTTTTTATTATTTTGATTGTTTAAAAAAGGAGAGAGTTTAAAATTATAAAAGAAAAGAGTTGGATTTGAAAAAGGATCGAAATCCTTAAATGTGTGTTTTATTGGATTTTTTAGATTGAAACCGAGTGAAAAAGAAGTTAAGATAATCGTTTGCAAAATTAGACTCCTATTGAAGTTAGGATTAAATCCTTATTTAAAACCTACAATTAACACAAAGAACAACAATCATAAAAAAGAATTTGAGAGTAAAAAAGTTTTAAATAGTTTAATTTCAAAATTTAAGCTTTTTTTTTATTTTTAATGATTTTTCGATGAGATTCCCAAGCTTTAGTAAAATTTCCCAACGAGCAATAAAGTTCTTGATGAAGAGTCTAATGATACTTCCAAATTCTAACAACTATTCTCAATCATTGATTATGGACCTAACCCATGGCACTAAGATCTAGCAACTTGCATCTCACAAGTCTTAAGCCCGAGTCGAGCCACTGATAATTTTTTTTGGTAATTTTGTTATTTATTTATTTATTTTATGTAAATTTTATTTACTCATTTTATTTAAATTAATTTTTTTAAAAATATTTTTTAAATAAATTCATAAATCCTACTAAACCATTAGAGAATTTTTATGGGTTAAAAATTATTTTAAGATTATAAATTTTATCAATCTATTGAAAATTTTGATAAGGAAGTTTAATAAAAATATATATATTTTTAAAACAATCATATGAAATTATTGAAGAATTTAAATATCAAAATTTAATCTTACTAAACTATTAAAAGGTTTAATTATCTTTTTCAAGAAAATGAATTTTTGAAATTAATCCTATTAAATTATTGAAAGATTTCATAATAAAATTAAATTAAGAATGTTTTCAAATCAATCATACCAAATTATTTGAGGATTTAAATTTTAAATTAAATCTTATCAAACTATTAAAAGATTTAATATTTTTGTTAAACAAATTTATAATTTTTTTAATCATATCAAATTATTAAAGGATTTGAATCTCGAATTAAATCTTATCAAATTATTAAAAGATTTAATTATTTTTTAAGGAAAAAGTTAAATTTTTAATTTTTAATCTTATCAAATTATTGAAGAATTTAAATTTCAAATAATATCTTACTAAATTATTAGAAGATTTTGTTGATTTTAAAGTAATAAATTATTTGGTAAATTTTAAAAATATTTTAAAGTTTTAGATAATACACAATTAAATAGCATTATCCTTTGGATAGACTTTGTAAGAATATTATAACTTTCTCTACATATAATTATACTTTCAAATTTAATTTTGATTGCATAGACTAAATTATATTCTTTTAAGAATTATTGAATCAAGTTTGAGATTTTTTTTAAAAGATAATAGATTCAATTAGATAATCAATTACATATAAATAAAAAAATTAATAATGACTCTTACAATTATATTTAGCAATAAATTCATAAATTTATACATCATAATCATTATACCTAAAATTATAAGAATAATAATGATTTTCTTCATTGTGTACTTTCGAACGTTTTAAAAGTTAAGTATTTTATCTATTGATAACTTATAAATTTTTTTTAAATCACATTAATTTTATAATTTTTTTAACAATATTTATCATAAAGATAATAATAATAATAATAATAATAATAATAATAATAATAAATTAAACGAAATTAAAATTCAATAATAAGACAAATTATTAAGCCATAGTACAAAAATAAATTTCATCTGAATTCTTCTACTGTTTTTCTCTTCCTTTTACCCGGTTAACCGGTTAGATTTTTTATGACGTGGTTTGCTGAAAACGCAATCCAATTCGGTAACTGGAGGGAGACTCCCACGTGTGTTCAGTCTCTCGGACTCCAGCCCCGCGTTCTACGTGCCAATATAGCTGACATTTCAAGCTGATATTTATTTTCATACAAATCCAAAGTTCCAAACCCTAACGGAACCTGGAAAACTCTTCCTTGCAAAACCTACGGCAAAAATGTTGAGGCTGGCGTCGGGAAGGCTGCTTGGGCTAGCGTCAAGGGAGGTCTCATCACGGCCCGTTCAGATTTTGCCACGTCTTTACCACGAGAATGTCATCGACCACTACAACAATCCTCGTAATGTCGGGTCCTTCGATAAGAACGACCAGAACGTCGGCACGGGATTGGTCGGTGCTCCGGCTTGTGGCGATGTTATGAAGCTGCAAATCAAAATCGACGAGAAGTCGGGGAAAATCGTCGATGCTTGCTTTAAAACATTCGGCTGTGGATCGGCAATTGCGTCTTCTTCTGTTGGTATGCCAATTATTATTATTATTATTATTTTGGTTAATGAGATTTGTAGGTATAATTCTTTTTCATTGAAGCTGCAATTCTTTTTCATTGAAGTTGTAATATTTATTTATTTTATCTTTGTTTTCTTGAATTAAAAACGTTACATGAGGATTTAAATTCCAAATCCAAAAATTTTGAATCCAAATTTAAGTTTTCAAATGCGACCTAGTTGGGTTATGTTTGATTTCAGTGGGAAACTCACAAACAAAACGGAAACAGAGCACGGATTGGTTGTTTATTATTATTATTTCCATCCAAAACAAATAAAAAAGTCCGTTTTTGCATACAAAATCAAATAATTATTTTAAACACTTGAATTAAAATTTTATTTTTAATAAAGAAAATCACTTTAGTATACAACAAGTATGCTTAATTACTGTTGCATTTAGTTAATTTTAGAGATCATAAAAGGAATCAGCAAAAACCAACAGAACCAAATGTCTATCTGTTTGTGAATGTTATTAAAGGCCTAATCTGTTTTATGAATGTTATTCAATATTTTGTACTTAAAAGAGTTTATTTGCCGGAGGAGCTATGTAGTAACTTGGGGTTTCATGTTGCAGCTACTGAATGGGTGAAGGGAAAAAGCATGGATGAAGTGCTAACCATTAAAAACACGTAAGTATGATTATATATTTGATTTTGACTTGTATATTCTACAGGTATACTTTCTGGTATTCCTTTTTTCTGTTCCATTTTGTTCATTTGCTTATCAGATTGCATGCTTTTATGTGGCTTTTTGATATCTGATTGTTGAAATAATTAAGTGGAATTTTTTAATTGTGTAATTAATTAATTTATACTTTCTGTTCTTACTTTTCTCCTTTAATTTAAAGTTTTTAACTTTGTAATAGAAACTTATAACCTTAATTCTGCTATGTAGAGATCATCTTCTTTCTTGCATTATCTTCTCTTTTATCTAGTCATATCTGCCTCTGGTAAGGGAAGTCGTTAATTACTTGCAGCTATATTATGCTTGTTAACTGTTTATTTATTTTAGTAATTCTAGGATATTCTCTATTCTCTATGTGTAGATGTTGAAGTTTTAGTTTCTATATTGTTGCACAATAATGAAGGCCTAATATTGGCAATAAATCATGGAAGACAGAGTGTCTGATCAAATAATGTTCACCTGAGGATCGAGCTATTCTAACAAGATGTATTAAGCAGTTTTTGATTGATTAAGTTTCAGAGTATGATTTTAAGTATCAAAGGAATCAATATAAAAATACAATTATGAAGATAGAAGCAGTTAGTCAAGTGAAAAAATATTTCTTTTGATTGTGATTTTTTCATTGCAACATAAATATATGTATGGCATAAATTGTAATTGCATGATTGTCTCTATAGATAACTCCAGAACATCTAAATTGAAGCCTTAAGGTGATTATACAGCAGATAGTTATCAGAATTCACCTACAGCAGAATAAGTTAATTCATAGCTTTCATGGGTTAACAGCTCAGCCGCTGTGTTCCTGTTTAGGTTTAAAGACAATATATAACATACATGTGAATTAGTTGGAAGGACAACATATGATAGAAGAAATGGGGTAAGGAAATATAAGATTGATGTCAAAGAATGTAGTTATGTTTTAACTTTTATTTCAATTTATAGCGTGGATGTGCAGGGTACACAACAAAGTCCCTGTTTGGTTTCTGGTATCATTGGTTCATTTTATTATTTTTTTCTTAATGTTTCTTCCAATCAAACTTACTCATGCTGGACTGTAAATATGAGTATTTTATTGTGTTTTTACTAACATAAATATTGCAGGGAGATCGCAAAACATCTAGCACTTCCACCAGTTAAGCTGCACTGCAGTATGCTTGCAGAAGATGCTATCAAGGCAGCTGTAAAAGATGTAGAAGCGAAACGTGCCAAGTTGAATGGCAGTTCAAATGCTTCACCTAATGAGATGGCTGCTGATGCATGATGTCTGTGTATATGCTGAGAAAAAAAATCTGGAGACTCGGTACACAGATTATCTAGGGTTACCCATCATTGTGTCAAGTTCGGTAGACAGAGACAAAATGGATCAAGGGAAACTCTAAAGTACCATTTAGAGGACACATGTAATATTACTTGTCTAGAGGGGATGTTTGATAAATGGTAAAACTATGAATAAAGCATTGGCTCAATTCAGATACAATCATTGTAATGTTCAGTGTTGAAGCTAGAGTCTTCTGTGCTTGCACCTCCTTTCAAGTTTGAGGTTATGCATTTTACCATTTTTTTTCTTTTGAAACTGGTGACAGTTTTGGGATCAAAATTGGTTTGCCTTTGTAAGCATTTTGGAATCCCTTTTGCTGTAAGGAGCATATCACTTATAATAATTGTACTATAATTAATTAATCAGAATTTAAAGTTGTGTAGGGTCTATCACTTCTTAGTGTGGACTCGACACTTATAAGTGATAGATTTTTGCATAATTTTTTGTTGTGATTAAATAATTATAAGATTGTAATAAAAAGAATTACAGGTGACCTGATTCCATTGTTGTGTGTGGATTTAGCCGTTAGTATTCTTAATATTTTTTTAGATAATTGGACTTAGGTCTTATTATCTAGTGCTCAGACAAGCTTTTCTCGACATACTTTTGAGGGCAACTTATGCCGTAGCCATCAGTCGAGACTTGCCAAGGAAAAAATAGCCATAGCCATCAGGCAATATACAAGGTTTCTGATAAAAAACACAAGCATATGTCAACTTCTAGCCCGGGTGCATACCTGCCAAGAGGCATGTATGCCGGAGATTCTTCGAAAATGAACCCAAAATATAAGGTTCTTGGTTCCATGGAAGGGCTTAGTGATGCGTAGTATTTAAACATATGAGAGTTTAATGTGTTATATGATTGCAAAAGAGCAGTTAGTGCAATTTTTTTAGCATTTACCAGCTATATTGTGGCAGGATTTTTTTCGATGTCCACTTAATAAAGTGTCAATGAATTTATTAATTTTGTAAACAAAAAGGGTGTTTAGGAAAAATTTTTAAGGATGTCTAGAAAGAATTTTCCTTCAAATTTTCTTATTTTTCAAAATTTGAAATTTTATAAACTCTCTAGTTCAAAGGTTGCATCTACCCCTGCATGCTATTGGCATTCATTCCATAGGATTCTGGAATTGGGAGAGAGCTTACACTGAGCTTTCACTGGACTTTTAGGCCAGACGGTATGTGAACAGCTTAAATGACAAGTTCATTGATGACAGATTGTGGGGAAAGTCAATCTTGTTTAGAGCACTTTCCACGAAGATGATGTTGGAATGGAAAATCCATCGCAAATGTTGTGGAATAAGCTAGCTTTCGGAGAATAGTGCATGAAATATGTTTGGGAAAGCTGTAGCATACAAAGATGCTGGAGAAAGTAAATTTGAATCAACACAAAAGATAGAACAATTAGACGAAAAATGCTCCTAGCCACGATAATGCCAATTGAAAGACAATGATAGAACCAGAATGACGATGCAACAGCAAGCGAAGCCCATCAAAATGTTTTTTTTTTTTTTTTTGATAATAATGCATATTCATTTACTCATAATTCGCGTTTGAATCAGTTACAATAATTTCATGCACGAAAGCAGGGTAGTCTTCGACCCAGTACAATTCTTCATCTAACTCCAATCCATGTACTGCCAATCTGTTTGCAGCAACATTCCCTGTTCTTCTAATATGCTGTGCTTTGCATCCATGCAGTTCTCCCATTTTCTGCCTTGCTTCTTCAATTATTTGACCTATAGGGGACATATTTTTAGTCCATGATCGGAGCTTGCTGATGCTCGTCAATGCATCTCCTTCCAGTTCAAAGTTTCTTATCCCCAGATCCTTTGCAAAGTCCATAGCACACACTGCTGCTACAGCTTCCACTGCGAAAGAGTTCGTCATCCAAGGTAACCTATTACTATGGGCTCCCAATACTCTGCCTTCCTCATCCCTAATGATCACCCCTATCCCTCATTTTTTTATGGCTCCATCAAAATTCACCTTGATGGTGCCTCTTCCAGGAGGTCTCCATCGCCTAGTTTCCGCAATATTCATTCCCATGTGTTGCTGGTGTACCTTGTTGAATTCCTCCATGTACTTCCTTGTAAATCCATCTGCATTTTCTGTTTCCCTCCTTTTTTCCCCGTGGTATTCATGGTTTCGATCATTCCAAATTTTCCACATTCCAACCATGAACGTCTGCAATTTCTCTATCGTGGCATTAGTGATTACCTCAGAAAAACAGTGCCAACAATTCCCATTTTCTTCCTCGCTCCACTGGAAACTTAATTTTTCCTAGACTCCCTTTGCCCAACGACACTCTTTTATTGCACGTAGGACTGTTTCAGGGTTTTGATTGCATCTTTGGCACATAACCTCCATTGGTATTCTCCTCTTTGCTAGGTTTGTCATTACAGGGAGAAAACCCTTCCTCACTTTCCATGTTAGCACCTTAATTTTTGTTGGCACTTGTGCGTCCCAAAACCTTGTCCATACTTTCTGTCTTCCCCTTTTATCTTCGTTGTCTTCTTTTGCAAATCTACCCTCCTGTGACAGTTTACATAACAGCTTGTAACCACTTCGCACTGTATACTCCCCCTTACTATCAAAATGCCACACTAAAGTGTCCGGCCTGTCTAGTTTGCTAAAGGGGATCGCACATATTGCTTTTGCTTCCTCACGTGAAAACAACTCGTGTATCATATTCCATTTCCACATACGGGTATTCTCCTCAATTAAGTCTGCCACCAGTGTTGTCTCATCGTTATGGTCCCTTGGTGATTAAGGCGTAAACAAGGAGAGGCTGGAATCCATTTATTAGTCCAAAGTCTGATTGACCGACCATTACCCACTCGCCACCTTAGGCCTTGCTATAGAACTTCCTTAGTTGCCCATATGCCAGTCCACGTGATTGACGGATGTGATCCTACATTGGAATCAAGAAAAGAAACATTTGGGAAGTATTTGTCGTTCAAGATACTATGAGCTAGAGTGTCAGGATTCGTTAGAATCCTTCACCCTTGTTTTGCTAAAAGAACCTTGTTGAACTCCCCCATCTCTCTAAACCCCATACCTCCATCTTTTTGCCTTTGCCAATTCCTTCCAATTCTGCCAGTGTATTCCTCTTGACTCCTTATTGTTTCTCCACCAATAATTGTTAAACAATTTATTGATCTCTTCACACATAGTGTTTTTGGTAGAAGAAAGCAGCTCATTACATAAGTAGGAATTGATTGCAGAATGGATTTAATGAAGACTTCCTTTCCCCCCAATGACAACAATCTCTGACATCTTCCATTCATCCTTGTCTTTATTCCATCCTTTAGGTCTCTAAAAGCCCTTCTCTTGTCTCTCCCCACCATTGCTTGCTGACCCAAGTACTTCTCTACATTTGTTGTCTCATTCACACCAAACATGGTTCTGATCTCCTCCTTTTGTCCTACTCCAGTGTTGCTACTAAAAAAAAGGTGATTTGTCAAGATTTATATTTTGAGCCGAGCTCTCTTCACATCGCTTTAGCACGTCCATCACTTTGTCGCTCTCACCTCTATTAGCCATTGCGAATAGGAGGCTGTCATCCGCAAAGAATAAGTGATTAACTTGAGGTCCATTTCGGCTTGCCTGTCCTGCATGTAGCAACCCCTGATCTTGACACTTCTTTAATAAGGCAGAAAGACCTTTAGTACACAAACGAAATAAATATGGTGACACAAGAAATATTTCATTGGTGAGCCTTCCGTTGACCACAATCGAATATGAGACAGATCTTACACAAATCTTTAGACTAGTGATCCACCTATAATGAAACCCCATCCTGTCCATTATTGCCTCTAAGAAACTCCACTCCACCTGATCATAAGCCCTGCTAATGTCAAGCTTTAAAGCAAAGAAACCCTTTCTCATATGTTTCTTATTCTTCAAATGGTGCATAAGTTCATAGGCAACTAAAATGTCATCAGAAATCAATCTACCAAGAACAACAGCACTCAGTGTTTCACTAATACAATGCGGGAGAATAATCTTAAGCCTATTAACTTATGGAAAAGCTTGTCACTTACAGTGGAATTAGAACAATAGGCTTATTGGGCCATTAAAAACCTTAACCTTGATCAGAATTTGGTAGGAGAAAAGAGGTTGTTGCAATTAAATGAGTTGGATGAATTCACGATGCGAGCCTATGAAAATGCTAGGCTATATAAGGAAAAGATGAAAATATGGCATGATAAAAAGATCTTGGAAAAATATTTTGAGCCAATCCAATAAGTATTGCTTTTCGATTCACGATTAAGACTGTTTCCTAGCAAACTAAAGTCAAGGTGGAGTGGACTTTTCATTATGGCCAAAGTCTTTCCTTATGGAACCATAGAAATTATGGATGAAGTAAAGAAGCAACCTTTTAAGTTAATGGGTATAGATTAAAAATCTATCATGGGGGAGTAACAAAGCAAGTTGAAAAGGTAATGTACTTAATTAAACCAAACATTTAGGTATGGTTAAGCCTGATTAAAACTAACGTTGCTTGGGAGGCAACCCAAGTTTTTCATTTTCAAGTTCTATATTTTTTAGTTAGTTTTACATTTTTAAGTTTTATATTTCTTTTATTATTATCACAAGTATGCTTTTAATTTTTTGTTTTTGAGCTGTCATCTTAAGGATGAAGAGATGCAAAAAGATGCCTAAAGGATTATGTAAGTTTTAGCCTCAAAAGGAATGCAAAGATGTGTAAGTATTTCTTTACCTTTAATCCTTAAGATTTCTAGTGAATTATTGTATAATTCAAGTGTGGGAGGAAAAGGAAAACTTTTTGAGTAAAAATGTTTTTCGAAAATTTTCCTATATGCTTTGTTTTCAAACCAAGTTGACTTGCTATAATCATTACAATGCTAACTTAATTAATTTTTCATGAGTTAATTAAGCATGACTTATGTATGATAAAAGGAAAAAGGTGAATATAGTGAAGCAATGGACGACTTCTTAAACATGTTTTTCTTTGGATTACGATTTTTATGTTGTATATTTGATCTTGATCTTTGATATGCATCGATTTTAGTGAAAAACATGTAAAATATAAAGTTGCATAAAGATTTGAAGTATGAGTGTGACTTTAGAATTTACATACTTAATCTTTAAAGTGAAATTCTAGACTTGTTTGATTTAAGAAATAATTTAGGCATTTTTTAGACCATTTGAGTATTTTCAAGCCCACCTTTAGTAAAGCATCCCTAGTATCTTTATTTTGAGTCTTTATATTTCCTTTCTTTGTTGTTTAATTAGCCACATTAATAAGCCCAAGCCTTATCTTTGAACTATAGATTTAACGCCAAATTCACAAATTTCATTATTTAAATATGATAATTTTACTTAAAGTAAAATAAAACATTGAATGAAATGTACTCTAAGGAAACTTTTTGCCTCTTAGGAGCTGATATCTTATTTCTCATAAGATTGATACTTTTATTAAAGTAATTGTTTCTTCTTTTGAAAGATAAATAAATCTAATAATCAATCTTAAGTAATAAATTTCTTACCTTTTCACATTATTTAAGTATAGCTAATTTATTAAAATATCTTATATTTTTCTTTTAACTTTGTTTGTACCTCATTATTTTAGAAATTGACCAATCTTCGAGTTAAATTGCAAGTCAAAAGACAAAAAAAGCAATACACAATTAAAATAATATGTATCTCTTTAAAATAATGAAAAATCAAAAAGAAAGAAAAACCAAAAAACACAACAAATTATCACAGCTAATAAACATACATTATTTTTATTAAAATTGAAAAAAAAATCAAAAGGCAAATAATCCCTAAAAAATGCATTCATCAATCATAGTTAATCCAACTCTAAATTAGTGAATACTATCTTTAAAATTGTAAAAAACTAAAAGACAAAATAATCAAAAGACACAATCAGTTATTAAATTAATGCATAAATATTATTTTTAAAGTCAAAGAAAATGAAAAGGTAAAAAACATAAAATGAACAATAAACTATCACAATTAATAGATAAATATTATTTTAAAAAACAAAAAGGTAAAGCCAAAAGTGGAAAAAAAACATAATTTAATATATACTTCTTTAAAATGGTGAAAATAAAATATAAAAAACAAAAAAATACAATCAATTATCACAATTAATAAAAAACACATTATTTTTATTAAAATAAATAAAAATAAAATGAAGCCCAAAAGACACAATAAATGATCATAATTAATGAATAAATATTATTTTTTAAAATGAAGAAATCAAAAAGTTAAATAAAGCAAAAAAAAGACATAATTGATTATCAGAATTAATAGATAAATATTTTTTTTAAATCAACGAAAATAAAAAGGTAAAAAAATCCAAAAAGATACAATTAATAGATAAATATTATTTCTAAACTAAAAAAACAAAAAGGTAAGGAAAGCCCAAAAAAAATCAATTATCACAATTCATTATTAATTTTTTTATATATTATATAATTAAATTTATTATCATCAATGATTATACTTATTGACAAATTCATTAATTAAAAGGTATTTTTAAGAATATAAGCGATTTGTTTGTCACTCAAAAGTTTAAAAATTTTATTTTGTGAAACAAGCTCATTTGAATTTTTATACAAATTAAAATATTAAAGAAGTTCTAATGTGTGGTAACAAATTTTTAATTAAAATTTTTATATATTCTAATTTTATCCTCTAATAATTTATGAAATTATAAGAAGAATTATATTGTTTTAATTTAATTTTTATTTACTTCAATTGGATAATCAAATTCAATAATTTTTTATTTGATTCTTCTATTTGAAATTAATGATAAATGCTCTTCGCACTATTTATTTTTTCACTTTAAAATTTTTATTGGATTTGATAAAGTTGAGTCTGATACTTTTTTAATTAAAAATAAAAATATTTTATTTGTTTTTTAACTAATTATTTAATAACATATCTTTTTAGCATTAGAATTACAAATTCATCAATGTGATTCACAAGATCAAATTTTATGTAAGATGTAGTGAATAAGATACAATTATATTAAAACTTAAGAATATATTATTCTCTTTATATTTGTATATTTTTGTTTTATGTAGAAAATGTAATTTGATTAAAAAGCTTCACAAATAACATTTAAATTAAATCTTAATAGAGTAAAACCGCTTAAATATAACTAATATAAATCAATTTTAAAGAATTTTAGTCCTAACAATATTTTTATAATGAATTCGAATGTAATATGATTGGCATAGATGAATTTTTTTGGATTTAACTCCTAAAAAATAGTCTCTTAAAAAAATATAAATTTTAATGTAATTATAACTTATAAAAATTCGTAATGCATCTTAATACTTATTAATTTTAATAGGATAGCATGTGGGCACATGAGATTTTCACTAACTTCCTCTACACTTAATTTTACATTTGTTTTTGTCAACATATGCTTTGTACCATTTGAAATAATAACAAGATATTTTTCTCTCTCTAGCTAAATAAAACACATTGTTTATCTCAAAAAATAAAATTCAAATGGAATAAATATGTGATATAAACAATATCTTTTTCTTATATCAAATAATTAAAAGAGCAATAAAACTAGCATTTATATTCAAATTGTTATAGCAAAGGCAACAATTTAATCCATCTTTATTATTGGGATTTACATGTTTACATTTAAAATTCAAATGCAATATATTAAAAAAGAGAAATAATTATGATATTAATGATACATTATAAAATCTTATAATTATCAAAATTTTATAATTTTTAATACTACTCGATTACGAAATTAATCGTGTATAGCACAGGTATAAAAAAACTTAGTAAAAAAAATCAAATATCAATTGATTAAAAGTCATATTATAATTTTTTAAAATTAAATTATCAATTTTTTTATATGAAATAATTTTAAATTAGTATATGAGTTAACTCACTTGTTTTTGCTTTTTTATATCATCTAATAACTTTTTGAAAACTTTATTTTTATGTGTTATCAAAAATCAAAATTGAAGGTACATCACAAGTTGACGATTGACATAGCTGGATTTTAATGATTCAACTAAATTCAATTTGATTTAGATGACATAGTTGAGTCATATCTAAATATATTGCTTACACTTTAAGACAAAACGAACCCCTTTTTCCTTTATTTTTTGAAAGGTGAAGACACTTTTTTGGAGGGTTCAAAAGGACTTTAAGCTCTTTTTAATCACCAAATGTTCCCTTTTCTTTATCTTACTTTTTGGGATGCCATTTCCAATTTTTCATTTTGTCAAAAAGATCCAAATATCTTCCCTTTGAGGCAAAGCTCTTGTGACTTTCTAAAAGTTTTTGGAAACATTATTTATTTGACTAAATTCAACTCAACTACATATTAATCAAATGGCTACATTAATGTTTGTTATTATTTATTTGATTGAAATTGACATAAAAAGAAAAGGGGGGGAAGTAGAGGTGTTGGTGCGTAGGATTGAGTTCGATTAAAACCTTGAAAACCTAGGCTTAATCCAAGTTAGATCCTCTCGCTTATTTTATGTTTATTATTAAAATGTTCAAAGATTTTTATATTATTGTTTTAATATTTTTAATTAATTTATAATTAAAAATAAATAAAATATAAATATAATTTATTAATTTAATAATATCTTTTAACTCGGCTCGATTTAAAATTCATGCGAGTTAATTATAAGCTAATTAAGATTCAAAGCCTCTTAAGAAAAAATTGAATTAAAGCAAGCAATTCTATACGTTTTATGAATATACTAAAAAGTCTACTATTCAAATTCTATTCATATTTATATTTTTTATTTTTGGAAAGAGGGTAAAAAATTTTCACGAATAAAATTTCAATAATTATTTAAATTTATGAGATTTTATTATAATCAATCAAGTTTTAAATTTTTTTTATTTTAGATTAGTTGAGCTCTTGACCATTTATTTTTACTCAATTATACCCTTAAATATTTATTTTTACTCTAATTAAACCCTCAATTTGATGGAAATAAGTGTTAATGGTTAATTAATTTTTATTTAAAAAGAGCTCAATTGAAAAAAATATATACTTAAATACTTCATTGATTGCAATAAAATGATATATATTTTATTATTGTTTTAGCTTAAAAGTATATATGGGCGTAAATTCTAAATTGATTCAAACTGATTATAAATAAATAAATAACTTGTCAAACCTTTTGACTGAGATGATATTGAATTCAAAGTTTATTCAATAAATTTGATATTTAGTTACTGTTATTCGAAAAATAAATATACATATAGGCTTCGTTCGATTCATTAAAAATAGTTTTTTTAAAATAATTTTTTTAAAATGGATTTATTTTTTGGAAAACCTAATTGTTTTGTTGTTTAAATGATCCTTTGAAAAATAATTTTTGGTATTTGGATGTTTTTCTAGAAAATCAGTATTTTCATCAAAGTAATGTTCTTTATATAACTATTTAAATAATATTTTTATACTTATCCATAACAACAACAACAACAACAACAACAACAATAATAATAATAATAATAATAATAATAAATAATATAAATTGTAGGATCTTATATTCTAAATAAAATAGTTTTTATGTGCATAAAATGGTTTATGTTGTTCTTAGACATAATAAACCTACAATAATCATAATTAGCCTATCTAAGGGAAGTGATTTCCATTCAAATAATATTAACATAATTATTAACATATTCAAAATTATTTACCATAATATTGAATTATTTATTATTAAAGATATTATGTTTTTTAATAAATCATATTTCATGTTAAATTATTAAATTTATTATTATTTATATAAATATTTTAAAATATTTAAAATAGCATTACTTTTCTTGAAAGATTATTCTATTAATAGAATAATATTTTTAATATTTTTACATATTATTTAAATATTAAAAATATTTTCTATTAAAGTAGTTATATTTTATATTGAAAATATTTATTATTAAATTGTAATAAATGTATTATTTATAATTGTTATTGCAATAGTAATATAAATACATTTGTCAACAAAATATAAAAATAATATATTTTAAATTAAAATATTAAAATGATTAAAAATAATCATATTATAAAAATAATAAAAAATTATTTTCTATATAAATATTTATTATTTGTTATTAAAAGAATAATATAATACTATTTATTATTCAAATATTAAAAATATTTATCTAATACTATACAAAATGAAAATATTTAAAAATAAATATTAGAAAACTTTTAGTATTAATATTAATATTAATATTTTGATATTTTTAATTAAAATCAAATAAAAATATTTTTTGTTAATATAATATTATTTAAAATCAGATCAAATTAAGTGCGAGTTTACACAATCATATCTAAAAATCAGCTTGATTAAAATTAAAATATTAAAATAATTTAGTATTCATATTTTAATTTTTTTAATTAAAATTAAATAAAATATTTTTATTAATAACTAATATTTCATGTTGGGTTAATTTAAGCCCAAGCCTAAAAAATTATGATTAAGGTCCAACTAGAGTTGAACTATACTTACAAGTTTGGTAAATGTTCATGCTCCCAAACAACTCTTTCTTTAAAAAAAAAAAGAACGATCTCATTTTCATTTACCAGTAAGTTAATTTTTGTTAA